CTGTGGCACCTAATGAGGGACGATAAGCCTGTTTTCATGAGGCAACTTGCAAAAAATACATCCTCCAACCTATTGCTCTTCCACTTGTGTGTGCATGTGTCTGTCTGTAAAAACAAGTTCCTTGGAGAAGACATTCACTGGACCACAGACCAATGGAGCTCACAGCAGTCTGGACAGGCCAGCAGAGATTCACAGGCTTTTGGGATGGAGAACACCTATTAAGTCATGTAAGGTACTATTCTGCCAATGCAGGATAGTTACTTACAGTGCATTTTCCATTCCTTTGTCCAGTCCAGTTTTAAGTGACTGACGCAATGGGGCTGCTACCACTTCCTCTGGCAAACACTTCAGCACTAAAACAAATGTCAATGCCAGAAAATATTTCCCAATAATATGCCTACATTTTCCTTTGCTTAACGACATTCCATTATTTTTATTTGCACTCCTGAAGACCACCCAATAGAGTTTTGGCACATAATTATATTTTACGGAAGCAGATCTTTAGCAAGCTGCTCCAAAGAAGGTAAAAATTATTTCAAATACAACAGATTAGTACCCTTATGGAAGCAAAAATTCAGTTTACACATTTTATCATCAGCAAGTGACTATTACGAGTAATTAGTTCAAAATCACCTATGGATATTCTCTACCAGAAGACTGCAAAACAAATATGCAAGTACATGACTTCAAAAAAAAATAAAATCAGAAAAACAGACAATTGAAAACGGAGTATTTCAGACTTATACATTCACTAGGATGCAGTATACAAAAAACCCATGAATTGTCATTTATTGCTCCTTTTCTGCTTTCTCAGACACATTCTCTTTGTGAACTGAAGTAACAAAAATCCATAAATACCACGCTATTATTAACTAGTATGAATTATAAATGCATCAATACTGTTATTTGAGATTATTAATTCAAACTATGGTATCTACAAATAAATACAAATTTTATTAACAAGGAAACAGAATAATAAGCAAATTCTCTTACAAGCTGCATGAGTTTGCCACTGCAAATTCTTTAAGATGCTTTTAACATGCTTGTTCCTGTTGGGGTACACCCACATCACGTACCTAAACCTCACATTTTTCATCCAGCAATTATTATTATTATGTGTAGATATCATTTGTAAATAAGGGCACAGGACATATCTCCGATGTATTCAGAAGAAAAAAGGCAAATTATTCTGTAGAAATTCTACTTTGCATTTTTGATAGGAATTAGTGGTTTATCCAGACTGGATGGAGAACTATGGCAGAGCACTGCTCTGGAAATCACTGGCTGAGATGGACATAGGTGACTGTTGGTGATCACTATAATGCTGTAGGTAGGTTTCATTAAAACACATAAAATAATCAAGTTTGCATATACAGGCATGCATATACCTCTCACAAAAGGCATACTGATTTTGCAGGAGTACTAAATTTATTCTTTGGCACCTGTGTAATCATTGGATGAAAAAATTTGCAATAATAGATAGCTGCAAGAATTGATAAGCATTTATAACTCACAAAGTATAACAATGCATTTCAGAAGTTTGGAGTTTTTTTTTTTTTAACTAAAAAGTGTTAACCGCATTATTTAAGACTAAGCAAAACATTCAGTATTCAGTCAGCCACATGTTCATGTACACTTTTCTGTAATGTCTTCTTTTTTGTTATATATCAAATGAAAATACATCATTTAAAAAATAGGAATCTTCTAATTATTCCTGAGAATTCCATGAACTTCTCACAATTGTGATTAATAATACAACGAGGTAGGAGAGGACAAAGAGGGAACTTGAAAGCAGTATTAAGTGCACTACTGTCAAAATTGGAAATGATTGTTCCTTTATGCCCACATCATTAAAGACACACACACACACACGGCCCTGGCCTGTGCCATCCCCCGCCCTGCAATGCTCCCCACAAGACTGGGAAGGTTGTAATTTGTGTTTATATACAGTTGCTGAAATATTGAATGAGAAAGAAAAAAATATTCATAATGACTAAACAAAAGATGTAAAGACAAACACCCAGTAAGAACGCTAGGTACTGGTGAGAGATAAACACTGAATTTAAGTCCTGTTTAAGTTGCAGAGCAGTTTCTCTAGGCTTCCTTTGCAATAAGTGTACATTTAGCTGAATCTCAGCCCTCTGGATGCTGAGAGCCCAGGAAAATTAATTTCCTAATGTGATGCTGAAAGACATACTTTTACAGAAAATTTGCAAGATGTTTGAAACACATTTCATTATACACCTGAAAGCTATTTGTAATTCTGACAAAGGCTTTGGCAATTTTACTTGTAGGCATTAGATTAGCACAAGACGACAACAAGGTGTATTTTCACCAAAGAAATGACATCTTTTCTAAAAACACTCTTTTCACACCCAAAGCTAAAAGCATGCATCGCAATCAGGATGCTTTGTATTTTCAATTTCCTTGGCCAGATTATTATTTTCCTAAATTGACATAAAGATGTTTTCATACGAATTAAATTTCTCGTAAGCCTTAATTGATGAAAACATATATTAGGTGGGCCCACATATATGAAGATATTTTCCTTTAATAAAAATATAGTATGTATTTCATCTGTCTGGTATTTAGAATATATTATGTGTGACACAGACAAGAAAAACAGGATTCTTAAAATTACTGCTCTTATTTTCTAAGTACAATTCGGTCCTAACCTTGTAATCCTGCTGTAATACAGCACTTTTGACCTGGGCCCTTTGTGAACAGCACTCAGCCCTGTGTGCTCACAAGAAGTGTCAAGAAGGGAGTACAGAGCCCATAAAGCCTCTGGTAAATACACAGAAATATTGATAATGCAGATTGGAGGACTTAGATATGCTAACTTTTGGAACCTAAGTCAAGAGACAAGTTGTACTGAAATTTCCTACACTGCACAAGGAAAAAGGCGTATAATTAAGTACTACTAAACCATGGAACTTCATTCCACTGAATTTCTCTTTCTCTGCTTACTTAAATGAAGCCAAGACTCTAACAATAAGCACATAAGTGAGCTGCTAACAGTTAGGTCATCTCAATACCTCTCCCTCTTTAAAGTGAGCTGCTTCTCATCTCATCTAAGAAAAAATAGACACATAAAAAATATACATATACTCCCACTTCAGGTTTGTGACCAATACCTATACAGCATTCTTTGCCTATTTCCAATTTAGAGGAAAAAAGTATTTCCACCTCTCACTTCCAACAGATACATCCCAGAGAAGGTAGTTTCTTTGTTTTGGTTAGGTTTTTTGGTACAAGTCAAAAACCTCTGCTGGTTTCTTATAAGGTGATACCTGCCAAAATTAACCAAAGTGAGAAGCAATGCATGTCTCAGCGGTCAGAAGAAAAAAGAAATTTAAAACAAAGCAAGTAGATCAATCCCTAGACTCTTTTCTCCCAAACACAACTCCATGCTAGATTTTTCCCCAGGAAAAAAAAAAAAAAAAAAAAAAAAAACAAAATATGGCGTCACTTAGAAATGAAACTAGAACATTTCTGTCGCAGTGAAGCATGCAACCGTCAGATTTTCGGGTTTAATATTTTTCCTAGAACTTTTTTTTTTTTTTTTTTTTTTTTTTTTTTTTTTTTTTTTTTTTTTTTTTAAAAAAAAAAAAAAAAAAAAAAAAAAAAAATCATAATCTGGCCAAAGACATTCCTACTCTTCTCTAACTGCAGTTTCATCTCCATTCTCTCTCCACAATTTTCTTTCCCTCAATAATGCCAGTGAAACTGATTGCAGAATTATGCCCTGAACTGGATCGGTGCAATTTTAAATCAGTGCTTTTTAAACCCTAATCATTTCCCTAATTTGGCTGAACAGTCAGTCAGCCCAATTGCTACCCTAGTGCAGCTGAAGCTGTGACAAACCTTGGGAAACGCAGAGCATTAATTTACTTTTTGCTTTGTGGTGGGTTTGGGGTTTTTTTGAGGGGGGGGACAGAAGGGGGAGAATACAAGGAGAGAGGTTTACCTTATATTAGCTTCTTCCCCAGAAAACCTTTAACACCAAACCAAAAAACAACCTGAAATAACCAAAAGCATCTATAGATACAGATTTTACTGCTTTCATTCTTGCTTTAGGAGGATCCTTTCCTTTGCAGAAAAGGAACATGGAACCATTTTCCCAGGTGCAATTTAATGCATTTCTAAGCAGGAAACAATTTTAGTGTTAGCTTCCAAAATATAGAATAGTTCATCTGAAAAGTATGTTTTAGCATTTGAAAATAATCTTACTTAAATGTAAATGTTTCCTTATAGAGGACAGTATAAAAAGAAAAGAAAGAAGAAACCAGCAAAGCTGAAATTCATTTGGGGCTGGAATTTCAAAAGGGAAGCATATTTCCCACATTCAAAATTAAAAAGAAAGTTACAGCTTATGGAATGTACCACTCTCGTACCAACCTACACCTCCAGCAGGTAGAGATAACCTGCTTAAAAAAAACCCAAACCATAAATTGTATAATCATAGACTGGTTTGGGTTGGAAGGAACCTTAAAGATCACCTAGTCCAACTCCCTGCCATGGGCAGGGACACCTCCCACCAGACCAGGTTGCTCCAAGCCCCATCCAGCCTGGCCTTGAACCCCTCCAGGGATGGGGCATCCACAGCTTCTCTGGGCAACCTGTTCCAGTGTCTCACCACCCTCACAGCAAAGAATTTCTTCCTTGTACCTAACCTAAATCTACTTCTTTCAGTTTAAAACCACTACCCCTTGGTCCCCGCCACTACACTAATCCAAAACTTAAATAGAGAAGTAATACTCTTATTCAGTAGCATTTAAGAAAGTAAGACAGAAATAGTTCTATTGACACCAGGTTTTGCTAGGAAACCACAATCTTTTTCCTAGCTTGGCCTGTGGCAGGATTCACAATATTCATTCAAGGTGAAATATGCATCAGAGTTCTATTTGATTTAAAAGAACCCAATAAAATACAGAAACGTACCAAGAATGTCCTTCTCATAGTTTATCAGTCTAATTTAAACATTTAAGTATACTTACAGAGCCATCTTTCAGATTTCTTTCGTAGGAGAAGTGACACTCCGTATTTTCTTTATCTCTTGAAATAGCAAAGTTGTATTTGCCAGCTGATTCTTCTCCAGCTATCAATGCTTTCTTCAGTTCTTCAACATATTTTTCTCTATTCATTTCCATGTCAGCAGCCTCCCTAGAAATTTCACCTTCAGACACTATAAGAAACATGTGAGAAATAAATACTTCTATGTGTATGAACATGTATATATCTTTATATGTACACATAGACACACACTCACACACCGTAAGGGACAGGCAAATATTAGGAGACTATTCCTTCCTTGACACATATCAGTGTGCCAGACACTAAGGGAAATGTAGCAGGAATATTGTGTTCTTCCTAAGAATGAAGTTCTGTCCCTTTTTTTCCCTGTCTGAAAATGTTTTATTGCTACTAGTCCACAATTCTACTTCCCTAAAGTTATTCTGAACAACACTAACCTTACAACAAAGACTGGAATGTTTTAACTATGACTTATTGTGCCTCTAAATTTGCTTTGAAAGCATGCAATCTAAACCCTGTAGGACAACAGATGCAACTTTCTCCTCATTCGTTCTTGATCCAGTTTTCCAAGTCTGTAGCTTTCAACCTTAAAATAAAATAAACAATCAATTTACAAATTAAGCTACACCTAGAGATTCCATGTTTTACCATTCAAGGACCACTAAATGGGGGATGTGTCTCCACTTTGCATTACATGAGGTCTGTGAAGAAAATTGTATTCCATTCCTTTGAAGATGAAGAATGGTTGAATAGGGTACAGAACAGGCCAATAAAGACATACTGTCATCAAGAACCATAACAGCCTTTCCTGTCTGCTTCTGATCCTTTATTTCTTCCTAAATCTTCTTTTGGTTAACCCTCAAACTGAAACGGCAGCTTACCAAGACTCATCGTCTTTCACTAGGAGTAGCAAGAAGCAGTTCTTGATTTTACCACCTGGGCCCCTGATTATTTTCCTTCCTTTTTATTTTATTCTACATACTGTTTCCTCAGTGCTTTTAGAGTTCAAATGTTAATCAGAATAATGATTTCAATGAGGACTGCAGAGTTTCTGGCACAGATATAAGCAAAGACTCTAAATTAAAGTTGATAGGATGTGTATAATGTAATGCAGGCTTTAATGTCTAGCCTACCAATACAGTATTTTAGATTGTTTACTTGATTAACAGAAGCGTTCCTCTTTTTTTCCTTACCAATCTTCTGAGGAAGACAGCTCTAGACTGTCATTTACCCCTGCTTGCTTCTAGACCTTTCTAGTATTTGTCCAGCATTTGAGAGAGCAAGATATACAAAAGGACATTTGTGGGGAAAACAAACAAACAACACAAAACAAAATTAAAATAAGCAAAAACACACATACCAAAAACCAATACAAAAACTCAAGAAAAAACCCCACAACCCCCAAAACATCCTTCGCAGAACTGCAACTTGAAAAAGTATTCCACTTAAAAACCCTGTTAATAACTATTTCTTTTCTATAAAAATGCCTCTGGAGATAGTTTGATGCTGAGACATAAGCTTGCACATGTACTGAAATCATACTGACAGAAATAGCACAGCCTTTCAACCAAACATGAGCCTGTTCATATTCGCCTCATTTTTCTCCATTCTTCTTCCTGACATAGTAGCTAACCTCATATTGCAAAGGAGGCAGCATGTATCAAATCAATCCATCGTATGAAAATAAAGCAAGGAGGTAAATGTATAATTATTTGCTACCAAGTATTTATATCCTCACACACTTCAGGATTTCTGGATTAATTCTGCACTTTCAGTAATTTTAGCTTATTTTCACTGACTCAGAGCAGCTGAGGTTGGAAGGGACCTCTGGACTATTGTCTAGTTCAACTCCACCAAAGACAGGTCAGCTACAGAGGTTGCTCTGTTCTGAATAGGTTTTGAGTATCTCCAAGGCCTCAGGCTCCTCATCCTCTCCAGCCAATCTGTTCTACTTGTTGGCCACCCCCATGGTAAAAAAGTTTTCCTGTGTTTAAATGGAATTCCTTGTATTTCAGTTTGTGCCCATTGCCTCTTGTCCTTTCACTGGACATCACCGAGAACAGCCTGGTTGCACCTTTGTTACTCCCTCTCATCAGGTATTAATTAAAACACATTGGCAAAATCTCCAGGCTGCACAGCCCCAGCTCTCCCAATGCCTCCTAGCAGGATAGATGCTCAAGTCCTTCAGTCATCTTCATGGACTGTCACTGGGCTCAACTTCTTAAGCTCATGTCTCATACTCGAGGGCCCAGAACTGGACACTCTATCACAGGTCTCACCAGGGCTGAGTAGAGGGGAAGGATCACCCCCCTTGTCCTGCTGGTAACACTCTTCCTAATGCAGCTCAGGAGGCAGTTGGCCTTCTTTGCCACATTGCAAAGTATTCAATTTCTTGTCCATTCTGGGAACTCCCAAGTTCTTTTCAACAGGGGACCTGCTTCCAGCCAGTCACCTAAGGTACCAGCTAGTACATGCTGGGGGCTTCTTCCTCCTCATATATACAGTTTTGTATTTCCCTTTGTTAAATTTTATGTGGTTCCTGTAGCCAATTTCTCCAGCCTGTCCAGGTCCTTCTGAACGGCAATCCAACCTTCTAGCAACCCTCTCCCCATATTTTGCATCACCCATAAACTTACTGTGGATGCATTGTGCCATCATCCAACTGATTAATGAAGATGTTAACAGGACTGGACCCAGTATTGACTGACACTTGTGGTACAGCATCACTTGTAACTGTCCTTCAACTAAAATTCACATTACTGATCACAACCCTTTGGAATCTGGTTGAACTGGCTGAGCTCAACCCATTTTACTGTTCATCTGATCATTCACCTCGTCCATATTTTACTAGTTTGTCCATGTTAGAGGACACAGTGGTGAAGGCTTTGCTAGCTAAAGCCAAAATAAACAACATCCACTGCCCTCCTCTCATTCAACAAGCTAGCAATTTCATCAGAGAAGGTTATCAGGTGGGTGAGGTATGATTTCCCCTTTGTAAATCCATACTGACTACTCACCATCTTGTCCTTAATATTTTTTTAAATCGTTTTCGGGATTATTCCTCCAACACCCTCTGGTTGACCTGCCTCCAACTATCCAGATTTATCCCTTTGCAAAGATGGGACAGACACTTCTCCCAGTCTTTAAAAAAAATCCCCTGATCACTATTACCTCACAAAAATAATCAGGAATGGCATAACAGTGACATGGGCCAGATCCCTCAGTACTCAGTCTCATCCAGTCAGGTCCCAGAGACTTGGGCATATCCAATTTCTTAAGATAGTCTCTAACCAGATCCTCCTGCAACAGTAAATCTCCTTTGGTCCTGACTTTTCCACTGATCTGAGGGGCCTGAAGCCAAATCTTAACCAGTAAAGACTCAGGCAAAGAAGCAATGAGCATTACCTCAGCCTTTTCCACGTCCGCTGTCACCAGTCCCCTTGCCCCATTCTGCAGCAGACCAACATTCTCCCTCATCTTCCCTTTGTTGCCGATCAGCCTGCAGAAGTCCTTCACATCCCTTTCCAGATGCTATCCCAGGTGGGCTCTGGCTTTCCTAACCCCATCCCTGCATGCTCAGTCACTGTCCCTATCCCCCTCCCTTGTCACCTTCCCTTGGCTCATGCACACTTCCTTTTTACATCTGAGTTTAGGCAGGAGCTCCTTGTTCATCCGTGCAGGCATCCTGCCACCTTTTCTTGATTTCCTGTTCCAGTGAGATGAACCATTTTTGAGCTTGGAGGAGGCAATCCCTGAAAAAAAATCATCAGGGACCCTCTCCTGGATCTCTCTTTTCTCCAGAGCCATTTTCCATGAGATTCTTTTTTTAAAGAGACTGTGGAAGAGGTCAAAGTCTGCTCCCTTGAAATCTAGGGTTGATAACCTGTTTTTACTCTGTTCTCTTCTCTCACTATCCTGAACACCATCAACTCAACAGTCAAAGACTGCTCCCAGCCTTGACTTACAGAACCTTGTTCATAAATATTAGCTTTTGTAGTCTTTCTCTCTACACATCTCAAAATAGAGAAAACAGAATCACAGAATCGTAGTGGTTGGAAGGGACCTCAGAACATGCAGACATTACTGATCTTGGACTTAACTGAGGGGTTTTGGTTTTTATGTTGGGCTTTTGTGTGTTTTTGTTTTTTTCTTTAAAAGGTCACAATAATCTACGCACATCTATTCACAAACACATCGGCTATCTGTGCACTCAGAAAAGCAATATTAGCTTGCTAATCACTTTAAGTGATTGCCACATGCCTGCAAAATCTGGTAAGGCAGGTCAGTCACTAACACCCCACTGTATTACTCTGTTTATAAGACACAGGCAAACAGCTAGGTGAAAAAGGAGATGCTGGTGGCAAGAGAGAGCATGGAAATGTCACCACTGCAAGGAAACAAACAGTTGACACAAGGAGAAATCACCCTCTTCTGCGGAAAACCTGAGCCTGCAGATACACTCAGTTAAAAGCATAAATTAGCGGATGAGAACATTACTTATCCCCTACCACAAGGCATTTTTTTCCTAGACAGATTCAAATGCATTAGGTCCTTCAAAAGCTAGAAAGCAAAGGATGCAAAGGAACTGCGTTGAGCTATGATAAGAGAAAAGAAAAAAAGAATTAAAAAAAAGAATGGACTTAGGCTCAATAAATATGAGCAAGTCAGTCTTTGTCACACTAAGATGTGATATGTCAGGCTTATGGCAGTCTGAAGTCTGTCACAAAGTTCCCTGTATTCTCCTTAAGAGAAAACACTTAAAAATGCATATTGTCTGCTCCCCCCTCCTTGTAAAGATACAAGAGGAAACCTGTCACACTTATACTAGTCTAACATAAAGTAAAAGGGCAAGGCATAATACACAGCATTTTACCAGATCTGCAACAGCACAAACATTCAGCAGACATCAAAATTGCAGAAATGTCATTATACATTAAAAAGAATATAGGAGTGCTGCAGGGCATGCATTAGAATAAACCAGATATAAAATAACCTCATAATCAGTATTCCTAGAGTGGAGAAGATGCTTCTATCCTTACATTTTAAGATGCATTATCTGTATTGCAGAGAAGGAAAAAGGAAACGGAGGGGGTTGGTAAAAAAAAGAGGCCAGGGAGGAATGTGGCATATTACAACTGTATGTCCCTACAGATCTGTAAAGTTAAGATGGCTGCTCTTTGTAAAAGCACATCTCCCAAAATGGAAACTGTATTCTGCTGCCCATTACAGCACATGTAATAGACAATTGTACATAAATGTTTTCGTATGCAGCCTAACACCAATGAGCTTTAGGGCACTGAAATACTCCAAGACACCTCAAACTAAAGACTCAAAACATTTACATTTAAGTATCATCATTTGAGGAACATGTAATACTTTTCAAATATATTCCTACAACCCAACAAGAAAGTCTAAACAGAGCAAAAGCAAGCAGCAGCCCTCTTTGTGAAAACATTTGTGAAAGGGAACACAGGACACAGAGAAATAGACAAAGGTGTGACTGAATCCTTTTTTCACTGCATGGACATCACAACCACTTTTCTTTTTTTTTTTCTTTTAAATATGTAAACTCCTTTCCTAATGCACGAAGCAAAAGAGGCTAAGACAGAGGGCCACGTATACAGCCAGCTAGCATCTTTCCTACAAACAGGGTTTTGAATGCAAAGCCATACTATTTAGCTGGAATGTTGCATCACAGCTTCCTTCCCCATGCAGCGGACACACCTGCAGCTGCCATGAACAAGAGCAAAGCCAGCATGCAGCCCTGCAAACATGAAAAGATCTACCTAGCAAGCCACTGCCAAGTCAAAGTCAGTTGTGCATCAACCCACAAGCATCAAGACTGACAGGCACGAGTTTCAGAACAGGACTTGGTACTCTGGCAAACGGTGCTGCAAAGCTGGAGGCTGTGAACTTAGAGGAGCCATTGGTTCCTTCCCTGCCTCGCTATAAGGCAAGTGTTGAACCCTCCGAACACACCTAAGCGTCTTAGATGAAGTAGTAAAAGGCTTTTTCAAGATTTTTAAAACTTACTTTTAAGCATGAAACAGATGTTATCAGAAAGGGTTAAGACATCAACAATCGCCAGCTGCATCTTGGGTTTTTTGGTTGGTTTTGGTCTTTTTTTTTTTAACTGAAAACAGCACTTTATATATTTCATATAAAGAATGACACAGTGGAACTACTATCAGGAAAAAAACCTAAGCCTACAAGTCAGTGAACAACTCTGGCTACAGTGCTGGTCAACACTCATCTTGCAAAGCTAACAATCCGTTACAAATAGCAAGAATTGAGTGGGAAAGAAAGGCAAGAAATTTACCATCAAGGCTACAGTCACCAATCATTCCCTCATTAGCTAGCTTATTTCTTGTACAGGACACTAGACAGAGTTGATGAGAGAAAAGGCCACTAGCATGTCAGCAATCCCCTTAAATCTCCCAAAACAGAACAGACAGAAGTGTGGAATTCCTTGCAGCATGAGACAAAGAGGGTCAGAAAAATAAGTCAGAAATACTTGCAAAAACTAAGTGATTGCCTAAAACAATGATTTAAACACTGAGAAAAACAGACAGATAGACAGACAGATATATAAACTTTTAATTAAAATAAGAAAATTAAAAACACAAAGATATTAATATACTATACTACAGCATTGTGGGTTTTTTCTCCTGTGGTGCCTGTACATGCTACGTGTTCCTTTATCTTATAAAACTAGCAGAACAGATCAACTTTAGAGAAACATGAAATGTATAAATCCATACATCTGTAGTTCTTTAACCCAGTAACAGTGAATACATCAGATAACATTGCATATTTGTGTGCTTCTCCTCCCCCCAAGATCTGACTTTTTTTTTCTCCTTAATTAAGACTCCCAACACTTTTCATCACCACATTAAATATACAAAAACCATAAAAGACAACTCCATCAGCAACTCTCATTCACTTCCTGGTAGGTCTTGCCAAGCAAAATAATCCACAGCATGAGAAACCCAAAAGGGATTTCCCAAAGCAAGAATTTTCTGACCACTGGCTTTCCCTCCTCCCAGGTTTTGAGTTTAGAATCTAATCAGTCTCAAACATGATGTAGTAACTTAGAAAAAGCGATCAAAAACAATGTTGAGTGTATGAAAACACAGATCCGTGCAGCAAAAAAGCACGCACAAGAGCTTCAACTCCTAATGAAATTATTCAAAGAACTACAAATTCAATAGGAATTCCTTAGAATCAGATTCCTGCAGAAGAAATAGAAGCGCTCTCCTTTGGATGCGTACCCAGTGCTCATGCTAAACGGTTGTCAGTTTCTTTCTTTCCCTTTAATAGAGTGAGGTCATCTTGCTTTCACTGGTCCTCTGTTTGGGGAAATGATCATCCAGCCACTCTGCCAGATGCAGGAAGTTAACAAAATGAGAACTGTGTTTACATATTTTTTCTATACTCTTCCAGTTAAAGTAACACAGCTTTTGCTTAGAAAAATAACAGATTTAAAGAATCGGCTTTTTTGTGAATTTTAAGCTGGGGGTTTTAAAGTTATGTAAGAACAACCAGAAAAGCTTTTAAACAGAAATAATAGTATCCTCAATTAGTTAAATATTTATCAATGTTAACATCCTTTTTGTTATTTTGAAGATACATAGTTTGACTATCCTATCATCAAATGAAGAGAGACAAACCTTTCATACCAGACTACAGGGAACCAGCATTGACATATATGAATTTGTCCCATGTAGGAACTCCTAATCAATGGTGTGCTTAAAAGGAATGTGGAAGAGCAGATTTAATACATATGAGACATAATTTAAGTTAGTCTTATTTTCTAGATATGAAAGAAAAAAAATGGTGAAAATTGTATTCAAAAGGAGGTTAATGAATTATTAAGCTTCTTTTTATACACATGAACTGTATATATATATATATAGCTTCTATATGTGTGTATATATATAATACATGTGTGCGTACATATATATATACACACAAAGCACTATTTTTTTATATATATGTATATACATCTCAGACCCATTTGAAAGCTTGGCTTATGTAGGAACTAGGGAGAAACAATGTCCACTGGGCAGGGAGAAGGCAGGCAGGCAAGAACTACATGGACATCTGTTCTTATGATTCAGAAAGAGAGTTGGAAAAAAGTTTTTCCATACAATATGCTGGTAATATATCATTCTTACCTCCCTTTGAAATATTTTTGCCACAGAGAGGGGTTTTGATTAAATATTTGAAACATTTCTAAAGGAACATACAAATTTTTCCTTCTTCTTGCTAGGTATGAATGAAAGAACAACGAACATATTAAGAGACCCATCCTCTTATTCAGGTTTCTGAGAGGGGAAAAAATTCCATAGGCTTTTTTTTTCCTCTTCTGATAACTAATGCCCAGAAAAAACATTTTTTCATCCCTTCCCTTCTCAAAAATTCACCTGACTAGCCAAATATAGGTACTTTAATAATTCAGATTTTATGAAACCATTTAAAAAACATCTGCACTTAAATTCTTCATAAAATATAATTTGTAAATGGCACATTTGTTCAAGGGTATGGAGAAGACACATAAGCACGACTCCAATATCAGTGCAAGAATTTGTATTCTTGGGAAAGAACAAAACACTGCATATCCATATCATAAATGAATTAGTATTAGGTTTAACACATAATCTTTCCAGATTTGAAAGACCTCTGAACATCTCAGAAGACCATGAACCCCACCTCCTCCATCACTGGGGAGAGGTAATGCCTGTAAGTAGTTTGTTATGCAAGTTGTGGGTCACAGTTTAGAAAGTGTTTAAAAATAATAATAAAGATCAGTAATAATTTAAATTTTTTTCTTTCCATTATTACCTTTCCCAGTCCATGCACATTGACCATCACTAAGTATAATACCAAAGCCCGTGCCTAAATCTTTTTCCCATGATACTTGTAGAAAATATGTTTCTTCTGGATCAGAAACTGGATGAATTCTGTTCAAAGTCTTCTCCATTTTCCAGACACCTGTTTAGGAAGTAAGATAATCTTGTTATAATCAATGGCTTGTTTTCCAGCTTAGCAGTTTTATATAACTAGCTTTGGGGAAAAAAAAAAAACCATACAAATATAAGCATACTTAAAATTTTAATTTATTTTCCTCCACAAATTCAGTTTTTCAGATAACTGAAATAACTGGTAATTCAGAAAACTGAATTACAATAAGCAAGGTTTAACTGAACAGGGCCAACAATCAAATATATTTGAATACCCCCAAATTAAGAAACTAAGTGTTAGGAAGCTGGGGAACACAAAATTACAATACACAAGTACTTACCCATAGCTATGTTTTTAACTTACTATCACTCAACATACAGCACATGGAATATAATTTGAAATAATTGATATTCATCTGGAAGACTGCTGTATGAAAGCATACTACTAAGCTTCACTGCAAAGCAGAGCTTGTAGTGGATATAAGGAACCAAAGAAATTGTTTTAAAAAAACAGATGCTGAGGATAACAAAATTTACGATGCTATGGTGAATTTTTTGCTCAGTATTAAAGCAACTTGACAATCTGTACTTGACCTAAGACTCTCTAAAGAATCCCTTGTATTTATACATTGTCTAATCTGACAACAATAAATCTTCATAGTACTCAAGAATCTTCAAACTGCATTTGGCAATTTGCTCTACAGAATCAGAAGAAACAGCCAATTCTGAAGTTAACATTGACATACTGTATTTTCATTGAGAAAGCTGTATGTTGTCCAGCACCTGAATAGTTTGTTTTGGGGTGTTCAGTTGTTCACTTATACAGTAAAAACAGCATGTATGGACAAAAGCAGGAAAAAAGCAACTGCAGAATTTTAAGTATGTGGAGCGAGCACAATGATGCTTGGTCAGGTTAGGTATTATGAGATCTACCAAGTTTTCCATCTAAGTGTAGTAATAAACAATCATGATCACACTCACTTCAGGCCTTTCTTTGCTTATGGATATTGAGAGCTAAACCTAAATACAGATTTAAGTGCAAATCAAAAAGTTGGCATTTTCAGGTTAGGAGGACCAGCTTTAACTGCAGTTGAGTCACTGTGCCTGACCTTTGCTCAACCCTGCGTTCAACAACATTTGAAAATGCCTTTCCCTTGTCCAGACAAGTGCACAGGATTCAAAAGCAGCAAAATATATGAATGAAAGACTTGTTTTTCAAGTATAAAGGTGCATTAGCAGCTAGACAACAGCTGCATTGTCAATAAAACAAACATTCATTATAGATATCAATAACATTAATGATACAACACAGTAACAACTTCTGATGGCTAATTAAACCACAATACAGATTATGTTGCACTAACAAATAGCGTTTTTAACAACAAAATGCACATCATGTAAAGGGCCTGCTATGAACTCCAGGCTGGACCATGGCTAAAACATATCACTAGGCACTTCCAGCATTACTGACTACCCATTGAGTTTTCATTACCAAATACACAAAGCCCTAACTTTATTTTTCCAGTTTAAAACTTTAAACTACACATAAGGACCATAACATTTTCCTGTTTAGAATATTTTTCTAAAGAGTTTAGGATTCAAAAGCTATAGTAGGTGTAGAAAGAGATAAATCATGTACATGTAGGTAAGCATCATAAATTCTCACCAAGAGCAGTTAAAAAGGATGACTTTACAATTTACATCCGTAAAAACACCACTGCTTATACTATTAGAGAGGTCATATTCTGCATTTCTACTCGCAGAAAATGCACCAGAAACTAAAAAGTTACTTAAAAGCAATGCTGAAAAATTAGTTTGAGCCCCCAAAAAATGTCTTCTATTTCCATCACCAAACAACTGACCATTTCAGAATATCTACAGTCTGTCTATGCACCTGTAAGCAAGAACAGAGAAAGAAATATTTGGGGCATGGAAGCCAGGAACAAGACATTTGCAAACAGTGTTTAAAGAACTAAAGCCATTTTAAAGATTTGTAGCGCACTAACTGCCTGGACATGGGTCAATAAAGAGCGCAGGACAGGAAGCGTAAGTAATGTGTATAGTATGTTTAAGCACACAAGCATGTATTCTCCTGTGCCCCCCAGATTCTCTGTTGCTTTTTGCTTGTTCTGGAAAAATAGTCTCTCATGAAATATTTTCATAAAAGTCCTTCTGCAAAAGACAATCTTTTCAAAAAGATTTGAATTATTCCTTATTATTTACAGATTGCAAAACAGTTGCTCGTAACCCAGACAGCCATCATACAAGATGCTGATGCATATATATAATTTAATGGGGAGTTTTTGCTTGCTACATTTGATTTTATCACAAAGCAGAGCAGCATTTAGTGAAAACCACCTGCACCAGAGGCTTCCTTTTAGATCTAGATTATTTGTAGCAGAAAGCAAAGCAAGGGAGTTGAATTTTCTATTTATATGACGATAAAGAGTGTCAGTCCTCAGTCAGAAAAACTGACATCAAGAGTCACACAAGAAATTGAATTTATTTAAAGATGCGCTAACAAAGGCCTGAGATTAAATACATCTGATATTATAATACTGTGCTTCCCATGTATCCATCTTCACACATTAGTATTTCACTCAAGTGATGTGCAACAGCTAAAAATGAAGGTTCTGCTTAGACATCATTCTTAAGAGGTCCTTTGCTGGCATAAGGGATGAGCCCGTTAGCAGAGCTGAAAAAGTTTCCATATAATTTATATATCTGTGGTAAAACAACTTCAATAAAAACAAACACACTGAGGAGGTACAACACAGAAGAATGTTCTGTATTTCATAATAAAATGCAAAATATAGTTGTCAACTTTTTCAACACTGTATTGTGTATCTTTGAACAAACAATTTTACAAGAGAGCATAAAATGAAAATACTTATTCTCACAGCTTTTATCTTCTCTATTGTGCTTACTGACCTTTTGAGGAGAGCATTAGCTATTACTACATGTTTAGAAACTGCTTCACAAAGCAGAGCTCAGCCTTGCCTGAGATATCCAAGCACTCAGCTGCTCCAATCCATCAGCCAAAGCTTAAGGATTCTTGGCTGTATATAATGGCTATTATTTACTTCCCTTCAAAAGGAACAGACCTTCTTCATGAAAATGAGTCTGACCTACACAGCATATACAAACATCAGTGCAAACAAAAATACTAGATGTTACTACTTTTCTAAAACCTGTTTGGGGAGAAAAACCAACCACAATAACAAACCACCAAACAAAAAAAACCCAAACCAAACCCCTCTTCCACAAATCTTAGAACAACACGACTATTCCAGGGTTTAGTGTAGTGTTGAGTCAATGGATAAACCACACACAGCTAAAAGTGTGAATTTAGGGGGAGAAAAAAAAAAAAAAAGAAAAAAGTTACCTAATTAGACTAACGAAAGCAAAAAAATCAGAGCATATTCCTTATTGATTTCTATAAGGTGAGTGCATGCATCTCATTCACTCTAAAGGCAAATTTTAATAACATATGTACACCCATGTATTTCCAAAGTAAGAAATTCCAGGAGAGTAAGCTGGATGCCCCCCCTTGGATGTCCTCCTTGATCACTGGAAGTCAGCTGTATTTTCACTGGATTCACAAGTAACTTTGTTCAACATATGTAAAAGATATATTGCTCTATACCTTAAGAACTGAAGTAAACTTCACAATTCCTTATAACCAGCCTATCTCAATTCACCTGCCTGCTTACTGTACATATTTTCTCATCACCCCGTCAGCCTTCAACATGCCAAAAACGTGACTCTTCACAGATTGACTAATTGTCTATAAAAAGGTGATGGTGTTCCTAGTGGAGCTTCTGCCCCAGGGCATTTGTTGGTGGGGGAACGCCAAAGTCTGTGGGGTATGTGAAGAACAGATTTCCCAAAGCATATTCTTCAGCTCCCCTTCCCCAAACTAACACCCAAAAAACCCTCCCACCTTATAAATACGTCAATTTGGCTACCAGTGACTGTTCTCTCCAGAAATGCAGAAGACTGATACCATACAGGTCTCTTCCAACCTGAATGATTCTATGATTCTTTACACATCATTTCCACAGAAGATGTCATATACACACAAATTGGAGAGTTAAAGTAGTATCCAGTCTGCAACAAGTCAGGTTGCCCATTGTTACTGTTGACATCACTATCTCCCAAACCCTAAACATAGATTCTAAAAGTGAAAAAATCATATACCTGACAATCTAATATCTAAATAATGCTTTAAAAGGCCTGTTATTCAACAGGATAATTCATTGTCATAACCAACACCCACGCAAAATTCCAGCCAACGGTCCTGCACGTGCTTGTCTTAAGACCTACCTTTATACATTCAAAAAGTAGTCCCACTAGAAATTTTATTAGGAAATTCTTAAACTGATGCCAAACTATTTCTCTGTTGTGGCTATCGTCTCAAATAATCCATTAAAACTGCAACCAGAACTGAAGCATAAAGAGTCACAGCTGTTTTAAGTACTCTGGGACAGAAAAAAATAACTGCAGATGCATGGACAGAGGGATCTTAAAATTACATGACAACTTGAGACCAGAACTTCCACAGAACTGGTTACACAGGCTTGTAGAAGCTAGTACTGCTTTTTAAGATTGTACTAACATCCCCATGTCCACCAAGTCATGACTTCATTATGAAAGCCAAAAATATAAAGGCTGAAAGAGAGATGAAGATTTAAGAGCTAGTTTCACTTTCACATCTTTGGCTTGAAAGGTAGGGACACAGGCAAAAACTGTATGAACGCTCAAAAATGGTTAAAACAGCCACTTGAATTTTGGCAGTCTCACGATTTAACAGCCCAGCCGCTGCTGAAGCTTATAGAAAAAAAATCATTGCATAAAACCAGACTATTTTTATAGCTATCCAACAAACTAAATTACTGAAATCAGACCCTTACTATTGCAGTCTAAAAGCACCTCCGAGTCTATTAGACTGGAGGAGTGCTTTCGAGTGCCGCTCAATATTCAGCAACACTGTCTCTGTAGGCTCTTTCCATTCACTGTCTCAATAAAATG